TCGCATTCGTTGGCTTTACAGCATTACATCATGAAAATCTTTAAAGTTTGTTTGATATTTTTATCAACGCCACGTTGGCAATTACAACGTGGGCAGAATGTGTTAGATGTGTTTGTAGTAATAAAATTGGCATTAAAAATTATTTTCTCTATGTTCACTTTTTGTCCTAATTTAACATAGTAGGTAAAATCCTTCAGGTTCTGCTATTGACACCTTTTAAGGTCTTGGGGCAAATAGAGGACACATTTGTTAAAACAGGACATTATTTTACTAAATATTCAGTCTCCACTACTACTACTCTACTCGGTCAAGTCAGAAATAAAATAAAATGATACTAGTGCATACCTACATTAAACTACGTATTTGGCAGGACAAACTAAAATTGACATTGCAAAGTTTAGACGTCTGCCCTTAATTGTTAGGCTTCGTCCCAAAGTTAAATGAAAATAGATTTAATAAATGACAAGAGTGATTAATACTAATAGTCTTGAGCGACCTTGCCGCAATGGCCGCATCCTCCAATTTTGGAATGTTCCGGAAGACCTTTTAAATGACGTTGTCCCGTTGCTAGGTTTCAAGGTATACCTGAGTCGGTATTATGAATGAAAAACTGATATATACAATAGTTTAATAAGAACAAGGATCTGAAATGTTACTATGGCAACCTAAATCACTTGACAGGATTCGTAGCTAAGGACCAAGAAGGTTTAAAAAAAAATTGTTGTTATTAGGTAGGACATACAATGGCAAAAATAACTGTTCTTGCATATTTCAATAACAAATAGTTTTTTTTGTTTGTTTTTTTTTTGTTGACATCAAAATATGTAGTTATACGCGATAGAACATTTCAGCATTTCTTATATTGGTATAGCCTACAGAACACATCAGAATCATTTCACTGTTATTATATGCTACCACTACTACCGTAACTTGCTACTAAGGAAAATGATGACTAAAAGTAGACAAATGCATTGTATTACTTCAACCATATAAATACTACGTCAGGGCAGATATTGAAAACACTTCTCAATAAGTGGCTATTGCACATCAAAGACTTGTGATAAAACCTCTATTGTGGTTAAATTTTATACTATCTAATAATTATAATAACATTTTAATCGAAATGAAAATATATTGAGGTATTTTGATTAATATGATGGCAGATTGACTGGCGTAAGTTTTAAAGGAGGTTCCTTTTCATTTTTTATCTAATCTACTCATTGTTTATTGGGTACGATTAAATTGTTTATAAAAAAGTGCAACGAGTCTTTTTAAAGAGTATTTTTAATTCAGTATTTAAACTGCAAAACGCAAGCTGTACACAATAATACGGTATGTAAAAGGTTGGTGTGCGTATTTTTATCATAGCAATGAAATATGTATTGTGTTTTTTTCGTTACTAATTTAAAATCTCTAACAATCCAAAAGGTGTGACCTTTTCTCACTGAAACTATGATTTTAATAAGTATTTGCTAATTATACTGTACTCTTGATGATATACTTATTTTTATCTACCGGCAAGTACTCAGCGACTTGATACGGTTTTCCCTAAAAGAGCTCATGCAAACAAAGATTAAGATACTCGGTATGTAAACAAAATTTCAATGCCCTTTAATATAATGTGCCTCGCGTTTTATTATAACACCGTGATAAGCAGTCAAGGTGAAAACAAAATAACGCATAGTCAGGGTCAGGTTTCGCTAAAAGTCTGGAAGCGTACCTAAAGGAAAGGTTATGATAAAAAGGAAACTTGTTTGTTATTTGAAGGGAAATTATTTATTGAGTGTTATTCAATAAGTTTATACTTCAGTCAGTATCTAACACCTAGACTTACCAAAATTAAATGTGAACCAAAGGATCAATTTTAGGCCGTATCATTAATTCGAGATTTGGAACATTGACCTTACGTTATACAACGATTACGCCTACGTTCATTGCTGCTAGAACTTACCAATTTGGCAGAAGATTAACGGTCTTAGTTAAGCTTGTTGGTTTAGGCATCTAATAAATGAACGTAACGGCTACTTACTTGCCCAATGTTGACAATCCCAGTCCATCGAATGTCGCCGATATTTTCAATCCGTTCGGATTCAATGGCCAAGCGATCTTGTCTAAATCGGCTACATTACCGATTCTATCAAACTCAGAACACTGAACATACAACACTATGTGAGTCCTATCGATATCCGCAATTTCACTGCACGTACAAACTTCACACAATTGTATTAATTTCAACACTTCTTCATTCATTAACTCTTTATAAACGTCTTGAGCACTTCCACTTTTAAATATGAAAAATAGAAACGTCAAAAAGCAAAGGGCGCGCATTTTTACTTTTTAAAAACGATGACACAAGCCCATCTGCGTTCGACTCGTAATCGCGGTGGAATGATAAGTTTCCCTATCGTTGTCTTATCGGCAGCGCCTCTGTGTGTGTACATTGCTGAAAATGACGCACACTATGATAATGGGAGATTAATACGAACTCCTGTGATTCATGGTCCTTTAATATGAAAGCTATCGGTCCTTTGAAGGGAGGTATTTGTGACATGCTAATACTTTAAACAATAATGTCTCAGTACATTCCGTAGCACTTCCGCAAGGTAACTCAATCTACCTCATCTTGCGTGTTACTTATAGATATATTTAGTTATATCCAGTGGAACTGGGATAAAGGACGGATTGCCTTCACGTTCTGACGTATATGATACAAATTAAATACCACGTGAAATTCTTTCTTTCCGTCACAAAGAAAACTTTATGATGAATTTTCTTTCAAGTAAAGCGTACAGAGTAGATAGGTTCTAACTTTTATAAAACTTTGAACAGTTTTTAAAACAATGAAAAACCAATTGTTATAAATAAAATAGATAAACACAGAACTAGAAGTTATTAAATGAGGCACGTAATATATATACTGGATATCAACTGGTTCGCTCGGAACCAGTTGATATCCAGTAACTATCTGCAGTTCGTAGGCAAGTGTGTTATGTATGATAGAATAATGCGAGACGTGTCGTAGGTAGACGTAATGCGAGATACATTGACCACAATGACTTGCGTCGAACGAAATATTGCAATATAATGTGACACCATTAACAACGGACAGGTACTGTTTGATCTCAAGAAATAACATTCTTATGACCAAAGTAATTAAGATTATCAAGTCTTTTGTTAAATTTCCTATTGGTAAGCAATCGGCGTCGCACGTTTTGGGGGGTTAGGGTTTTGAAGATGGGACTTATTACAAGCCACATGCGGTTTAACGTCAAAATATCCTCAACGTTTGGATAAGTCTAAAAGTAAACAAAAACTTAAATCAAAGTGATAACCTACCAACCTAGTGAACTATGTAGGTCAAACAGGTAAATATGACTGCAGTGGTATTTCGAGTGAAAATGGGGTGACGGCGACTAAATGATGCATTTTTATGAGATTGAAATTTCGGGGACTTCGCTTGTTTTACGACAACTCTAGTGCTCTGTCATAAAAATATTGACATTTTGATTGTAAAGAGCGTTAAACAGGAGAAGAAAAATTTAGTAGACATTTTACTTTACACTTACTTACACTGAAGAGTTTTGGTCCTTTGCGTAAGTAAGGACCAACATTTTTTTATAGCCTATTGTGTATCCCCTGCCGGGCAAAGGCCAACATTTATAACACGAAAATTAATAATAAAAGTAGTATCACAAATAAGTAAAAAAACATATCTACAAAAATATATTTTTATTAAAATAACAGTACAGTAAGAAATAATAACATTGAACATTTTATTCCTTATATTTTATAGCGAAGACTTTCGTGTTTTGATATTAACCAACATTTAAACTTAAGTAGTTTACGTATTATATTGAAACTGGCCCCTATAAATTATATACAACAGGATAATATACATGTATAGCATACAGTTATTAATTATGCGATAGACATAATATTCAATAGTTAAACTATTTGCATTTATGCTAAATCAGACTCTTGGTAATTCCATCAAATTAAACCACAAATAAAAGGTCAACGATATGCCGCCTGAAAACAGCAGAAAACTACTTTTCAACCTTATTTTTAAGGTCATAACGATTAATAACAATAATATCTAACCGCACCAAGTTCATAATAGAGCTTAAATAAGTACGAACCAAATAGTTTAAAACATTCAACGTCTAGAAAAAAAAAAACAATCCTAGCAAGTTAGCACCACAACGAACAATACTCGTTTGAAAATTCAAAAATGGAATGTTCCATTTAAGTACATACAAATATTGTCTAAGGTTACGTTTATAAATGCGATGCCCTTAATACTATGATTGAGATAACAACTGTTAGAATCATAAATGTCATTAACGCATATTTTGGTGACAATAAAATAATTTTATAGAGATTTAAGTGGTTTTTCGACTAATTATAGTTTCGAAACAAGTGTTGCAATTATTTGGATATCTTCCAGGCTCTAAATTCTTTATAGCATTCACTTTCTTAAAAATACATTCCTACATTCGTGGTTATTTCATCTAACAGTTGTTATCGAAAATACGTTACGATTAAATTATTAACTTTATTTTTTAAACAATTAAAACAAAATGATTTTGATAAACTAGTCTTTTAGGTGTTTAAATTTTAGGTAGGTATAATTCCATGACCAAAATGTATTTAGTTCGAAATAAATCTATTCAAGTGAAAAGATATCGTTGTAAAAGGGTTTAAAAATACAAACATACAAGTATGATGAAGAAAAAAAAATACGAAAGAGAATATTATGTACATTTGTATCATAAAACGGAGTATTTAATATTAATTACAACAAACAAATATATTTGTGACTTAAGGATGAAGAAGTTGTTAAACCCAATAAAAAAAACGAGCCTCTAATTTATTGAACCTTTCACGGACGATATTTATTATAATTTTTAATAGGGTATTTGGACATAAGACCGATATAGACATCCATGGACACAGATATAGATTGTCCATTTTCCTTATCGAACTTACGAATCAACTATTAAAAAAACTCACGTTTTATTGTTTTTTAATTGGGCTTGCGTTTGACCGCTATCTCGCCTGGACATTGTTTCAAATTCCTAAATGAATTAAAGGTTACGATTAAAGAAAAATAATTTACAATTAAATGTGTCTGTTAGCTACGCAAGTACTCTACAGGCCCTGTATTTGTTAGACTAGAGTGGGTTACCGGTATATTCAGAGGGCGTCGTGCTCCTTTAGTAAGAAGTGACCAACCAGCCTCTTCTGAATGTCTGTGACACCGCCGTAAATCTGCGTGCCTCTTGCGTCCCTGTTAGGAGATAAATAATCATAAAATCAAGTGTGTGTTTAAACTTATATCATGATTAAACTCTTACTTTTGGATCGTCAAGTTTAAATTACATTTTTCATAGTTTTAAACAAACTATTCAAACAAACTATATGTTATCAAAGTTAAAAACTAGAACTTACCTATAATGACGTTCAGCGTCATAATTGACGGATAGACCGCGTCCTCCAAGGATCTGAACGCAGTGGTCTGCGACAGCGGCGGCGTTCCGTCCAGCGAAGTACTTGGCCATCGCACTGTTTTTAGTGCTAACGTCTACGGCCGCTCGGTACGTGGCCAGGCGAGCGGTCTCCACTAACATACACATCTCCGTTAGGCGGTCCTAAGGAGAAAAGAAATTGAGTCTTCAATCTCTATATAATGTATGGTAAAATAAAAATAATCCTTCCAATGCTTAAAAGTAAAAAAACACTTTGTTTTTGTAATATACTATTGTACCTACTGTTATAGAACGGACTTAAGTGCCTTAAGTTATTTTATTTCAAATCAAGTTATATAATTAAAGTTATTCGTATTAGGTGTCGCCACTGGAGTAAATATTAATTCTTATAACTATATTCATATAAACACTGCGAAGCTAAGGACCAAAAAGGACCAATAATTTTTTTTCTACATTTTTGTGATTTGACTTATTTTGTGATGAACAATGCAGAATTTGGTTTTTTATGTCGATTAAATTCGATACAATATTAAGTATCTAAAATAAAAAAAAAACTAAACTCTACTCGTCGTTTTCTTGTTTTATTCGCAACGACAACCTTTCAAAAAGTCAAAAGTCAAAAGTCAATTTCTTCGCTATCTTGCCTGGAAGTGAGCGTTGATGCGGCCTTCGATGGTGAGCGCTATCGTTTAGGTGCGCTATCATTTTCGGAGAACCGTTCTCCCAATAAAAGTACACAAACATTCTTAAGAGATGATTTCTTCTGTCTAGTTTTGCAAAGTGTATTTGGGCTAAAATTTCTGCTTACCATCAGGCCTTGAGCTTTTTTGTAACTTATACAACTATTAAAAGAAATAATGACATACCTTTACAGAAGGTAGTCTGGTCAGTGGTTTACCGAAAGCTACTCTCTGCTTGGCATAGGAGATGGCTGTGTCGAGCGCTGACTGAGCGATACCTGATAAAAAGTACAATAGATAAAAGATTGCGTAAAGTAAATTAATAATATCAGTTAGATGAGTAAGTCAGTATTTAATAATAACCCACTGCAAAATATATTACAAAATATTTGACAAGGTTTTATTTACTTTCAATGAATTTTGAAGCAGATAACTCAACTGATATAGCTGAAATTTTAGTTAGTTTGCACGATCATAAATGCTAAATACAACTTTATTCTAAACCCATAAAAATGTCCCTGAATTGTCGACTCTCCAGACACATTGACACCTAAACAAAGATAACAAGAAATTGTTTTCAATAATTATTTCAAGTAAAAATTATAGTTTTTCAGATTACAGAGTGATACTCACCAACAGCATGAGCGGCGATACCGATGCGAGCCTGGTCGAGTTGTTCCATTGCAATCCGGAATCCCTCACCCGGTTGCCCGACCATGTAGCTCTTAGGAACGCGGATATCCTCCAATGTCACGCTGCATGCTGTCGCCGCCCTGTCAGACGTGCTTCAAATCTATTTTATAAGCTCCTTTTGTTTTGTGGAATTATTGTATGCTAGTTTGTTTCGTGTAATAGTGTACCTAGTACCTACCTACCTACCTGCCTGCCTGCCTACATACATTTAGGCATTTGACTCAGTTGACTCAGGGGCTAACCGGCAATACACTGTACAACACTGTACTGGTACAACTCTGTGTGATCCACAAATTGTTGTTTCGGGTCTGGGTACTATGCGTATGTGAATTAGTATGTTTTTAAATGCATCCACGACGCACTAGAAAATCCTAGTGTGGGGCAAAGATTTATATAAAAACAAACAAAAATAATACTTATTAACATTATATGGGCCAAAATTATCCCTGTTCTTTTTTTAAGTTTTGTTATTTGCGCGAAAGAAGATTCACTTCACAATATTGCGCCCACGAATGACACATTCTCACGTTCCCAATGTTTTTTTTTTCATGCCGGTATTTGGCCTTTTTATATGAGTGTTAGGCAAAACTAGCTGAACTGTCCGGCCAGAGCCTGGCTACCCTAGTCTCTCTGCATCCGACCCTTATTCAAGCTATCAATGAAACTTACTGATCTGGCAAACTTGTCATTCTGGGATTGAATTTAAGCGTTTGTTCTATGCATAGACATATTTTTATTCAATTCATTTGTTAATGTTCACTTATTTTGATTTTATTAAATTCATTATAATTAAACTACTATTAGTAACTTTATTAATTATCTGTGTGCAGTGTGGTTAATTTAAGTGCAAATTTGAGGCAGTGCAAAGGTAGTAAATGATGACCCCAAACCAGCAAAATATGCAATTAAATATATTAAGCAAATACTAAATAAAATAAATATAATGTACATTAAACATAATCTAACAATATATACATAGTCTGGCCATAAATACTGTTACAGTTAAAAATAAACAAAATTTGGAATCTGTCATTTTTATATAATTCTTCATTGTGTTTTCTTATTTTGGCGCCAATAAATTGTTCAATATTTTGCGATATTAAAATGGAGTTGGGTGATAAAGAGAACCGAATCGCTGTGATTGCATTACACAAAGTGGTTATGGAGCCAAATGCAATTTTTAAAACTTGCATTTGGCTCCATAACCACTTTGTGTACACGCTTGGCATTAGTCAAATGTTTGTGTACCGGGCTATTAATAGGTACAATGAGACCTCCTCTGTTTGTGACAGAAAAAGATCTGGCCGTCCACGTAGTGTTCGTACGAAAAAGGTGGTCAAAGCAGCAAGGGAAAGAATTCGAAGAAATCCTGTCCGAAAGCAAAAGATTTGATCTCGGGAGATGAAGATTGCACCTAGAACCATGTCGCGTATTTTAAAAGACGACTTAGGACTTGCAGCCTATAAGAGACGCACTGGACATTTTTTAAATGGTAATTTAAAAAAGAATAGAGTGATAAAATCTAAACAACTACTGAAGCGGTACGCAAAGGGAGGTCACAGAAAAATTTTGTTTACGGATGAGAAAATTTTAACAAACAAAATGACCGTATTTATGCTTAAAGCTCTAAGGAAGCTTCTCAATTAGTCGACAGAGTGCAACGTGGGCATTATCCAACTTCAGTGATGGTTTCGTGGGGTGTTAGCTATGAAGGAGTCACTGAGCCATACTTTTGCGAAAAAGGTATCAAAACATCGGCACGAGTGTATCAAAATACCATTCTTGAGAAGGTAGTTAAGCCCCTTAACAACACCATGTTCAATAACCAACAATGGTCCTTCCAGCAAGACTCGGCGCCGGGTCATAAAGCTCGGTCCACGTAGTCTTGGTTGGAAACGAACGTTTCCGACTTCGTCAGAGCTGAAGACTGGCCGTCGTCTAGTCCCGATCTTAATCCGCTGGATTATGATTTATGGTCAGTTTTAGAGAGTAGGGCTTGCTCTAAACGTCATGATAATTTGGACTCCCTAAAACAATCCATACGATTGGCAGTGAAGAATTTTCCCATTGAAAGAGTGCGTGCTTCTATTGATAACTGGCCTCAACGTTTAAAGGACTGTATTGCAGCCACTGGAGACCACTTCGAATAAGCTTTTTATGTTTTAAATTGTTTTATATTTATGTATTAAACTTACATACTTTAAAAGTAATAAATGTTATTTGCAACCGAAAAAATATTTTTTTTTAATTGTAACTGTATTTATGGCCAGACTAGGTATTTTTAAACGCGAAACTTTGTAACTATGCATGCCATTTTGTTACTCTTTAATGTTAAACCTACTGAACGGATCGGAATGAAATTTGGATATACATATGCAGATTATAGTCTGAATATAATATAAGTTACCCTTTACCCTGGTACTTTGGGCGAAGCCGCTGGCAGAGGCTAGCATAAATATATAAGGCCCAACACAAACTGTGCTACATGCAGTGTTAATGTGTGAGCGTGTGCATAGAATATCTAGTTAATACATACCTGACGCTCATGATGCGTTCTTTCTGACCTCTGAAGATACCTTCAGTCTCTACTGGAACCAGGAAACCTGATGAGCAGAACATTGTTCAAATGATTTGCCATCAAACAGTCCAATGGTTACAAACACGACTGCTTAGTCCGGAGTAATTGTTACCGAATGTAGATTAATTTTAGGAATCGCACCACTTCTACTTGGTCCCAATGTTTAGTAAAAGACTTGCCCCTTATTTTAATAGGACGGTACTAGTGGCTTTACACTTCGCAATAAATGCGAATTTTAACTGCGAATAAATGGTATTTATTCATAACAAAAGCTTTTCGTGGATGAATTTCCCCATGTGGTTAAAACCATAATATAGTAACAGTAGAAACGTACTTAAATATAAAAATAAAATTATAATAGAATAATATAAATTAAATAAATAAAAACCGACAGAAGGGACATCTTTTTATTTTGTAAGTTGTAAAAGTTCACAAATCTCAAGGGCCATATGTAAGACTTACAAGCAATTCCTTTATGCCTGAGCTCTGGATCGATGGTAGCAAAAGTAACGAGGGCTTTGCCTTCCAGTGCACTCGTGACCCAATTCTTCTTGCCGTTTAGGATCCAGTAGTCACCGTCCTTTGTGGCTCTCGTCTTTATTCCTGCTACATCTGTACCCGCGCCTGAAAAGACCAATTTATAAGTAAATAAGTGGTCCTTTTGGTGAAGATCCCATCTTTTCTACATGACGCGTCCTTACATTACATAGGTCTTTGGCAGAACTGTTTTGGGATAAGTTTGTTGCTTTTTTTTCTATTATTTGCATTTACATAGCAGTGTTGTTACATTAAGAGATCGTACGTAATAATCTTGGTTTTTCAACTTCATAAGAATTTTGGTATAAAAGATAAATGCCCTACCTGGCTCACTCAACGCGAAGCAACCAATAGAGTTTCGAGTGAAATCCTTCAAGAACATCTCCTTTTGCTCTGGTGTCCCCTTCTCGTTTACCAGGTTTAAGTAGAGGAAGTTGTGTATGGAGAGAATCATGCCAGTGCTGGCGCAGCCGCGGGATAACTCTTCCACTGCTATTGCCAGAGATAGATAGTCCATGCCCATACCGCCGTATTCTTCGCTGACACACGCACCCATGAGACCCATCTCTGTTAGTTGTCTGATCTGGAATATGAATAACATTAAACATCGTTATTATCAAAAAATAGAGAGGAAGTATTTTTTGTGCTGTCCATTTTTTGTGGAATAAGAGACTATCAAAATCACCAAGTGGTAAGTGATCAGCGTCGCCCATGGACACCGGCAACATCAAAGGAGTCCCACGTGGGTAGCCGGTTCTTAAGAAGGAGAACACTTGTTGCTTGAAGGCTTATAGGTCGTATTCATTTATTGACTAAGATCATAAACCATCACGCCGCTAGCTGTAGAAGCTAAGTAAAGCAGCGCGAAAGTAGCTAGAATTTAATACCACGATTGAACCCTTGCTGGTGGTAACCAGGCGAGTAAATATGATTAGGTCTACAAAATTGCGCGGTATAAAGCATTATGCTGACTCCCAATAGTTATAGGACATTTGGTATTATTAACAGTCAACCGAAATAGTCGTATTTGTCATCCTTTTGACCTTCTAGAAGGGATATTACTGATAAAACATATTGGAACTTGATAGCAAATCGTTGCATTTTTTTGATGTTGACGTCATTAACATGCAAAAAGTCATATGAGTCGATAAGAATAGTTAGATACACAAATCCAATGATTTTTTATGGAGCGAACTTTACGTTACATCAATGAAATTGAATAGCTATAACATACCCCAGGCCCAGGCTATTATTCTACGAAATAAATCTTTCGTTAGTTTTAAGTCTTATTGGAGGAATCAGGCGGTATTTTAAACCATGAGCTACTCTGACGGACTCAGTAATTTAACTAGGCACTTTTAGATCGTAAAAAAATATAAACGCAAGTCGAGTATCCCTTATTTTATTATTCAAATCGGTACTTTAATTCATTTAAGATTCGTTATTTTTGTAGGGCGTAGGTAAAGGTGACAGCCCATCACATGTCATTGATAAATCTGATAATAAAACTAGTTAAAAGCAGTTTTCACCACTTTTAACATTTTTCTAAGTTTCCAAGCTTGTTATGAACAAGATAAGATCTATAAATACAAATTTAAACTAACTGCAGTATATGACGATAGTAAAACAATATCTATACATCATAATCATTAATTCATGTAGGTATGATATGTATGATATAAAACTGGACAATACCTACTTTATTTAGTTATAAGTAAACAGTCGCAAGCGAGCCTTCTTTCGGTTAAGTCATGAAACGCTTTTAGTGGGGATAAATTTAACCTGAATTGTTGGTAAAGTATCCTTTTGACCTGAGACATACCCAACATAATGACTGAGCGTCCAGTTCCTTAGCTTACACACATCATAAGCCTATAAAAGGCCCATTGTAGGGCCGTCTGCTAGTGGTGTCTTAATAACATTAGAAAGTATGTAAAGTATGTACATTTAAATCGAAAAATTCTCAGATATCTTGCGTGCTCCATAACTTCTGGGCCATCACGACCACCTAAGCTTACATTACGCGAATTCTAGGTGCCAAAAAACCAAGATTCCATGTACCTACTACGTATGTAACGACACGGGAATTGAGCCCGAAATCGAGATCGCGCACAATCCGTGACTGTAGAGCATACCTACATGTATTTGTTATCAAAATGTATTATTTTATCGTACATAACAGTCCTTTAAAATAAGCGATATAGAAAAAAATATAGTTTAAATAAATAAATGAAGATTATCTTTCAACTAGGTACCTTATCTCTTGCGAGTTATTTATAAGTACCAATCGCGCTATGTGCTAACAGGGATAGGCAGTTACAGTTACATAATAGTTAGAAAATGGAAAATAAATAAACATGTTTGTTCAATAGCTTGTTTGTTTTCAATTTTCTTAAAACGTCATTACCATAATATTGTAATTGACCTTATTGCACGAGCAAGATATGAAGTGAAAGTATTTTAATAAATAAGTATGTGTTCTTTGTACCTATACCTAGTACAAAAATTGGTCCTTTGGATCGCATTCTCGCGAATCTGTTTTATGAAAGGACCAAAATATTTTTTCTCATGTAATAATAAAATATAATAGTAACAATATTAAATAAATGAAATATCAACAATTTTTTAGCAAAATTATTGTTCTGAATATAAAGATGTGAACTGTCCCAAATTTGAAAAAATAAATACTTTTCTGCATAATTTTGCAGCATGAATTTAATATTCATATTGGCAAGAGTTGACTTTATATGGTATACCTCAAAGTGCTGCCATTAACATTAAGGTAACATAACATAAGAGATCATGACCCCCTCAAGTGACAAATTTTCAATAGGTACCTATCCAATTTTTCATACAGATCTAATCAAACATAACATGTCACAGATATCATGATAATGGACAATTTTATGTAAGAATTGAAACATCTTATCAACAATCAACCTTTTAGAAAATAATCATATTCCATTTTCATAAACATTATTTATGAAGCTGGATGTTAAAAAAAAATGTAAAGATATTTATACTATGTGATGAGCATTGATTCTTTACCTACCATAAATATTTGGTATTTAATAAAATTTGCAAGGCAGGGGACTACAGAATTTAATGCCTACATAAAACACAAAGTTTTTATCTATGATCTCCAATATATCAAGCCAAGTGAGGATATTATGGTAGATCTTTTGTGTGCAGAGAAATCCATATTTCACCAGTACACTACAATGGGCTGTAAATGATAATGTGTAAGGAATACTGCCTGCATTCTAAATTTGAATTTTGAAAAAAGTAAACAAAAACTTACAGGTTCAAATGGAAATAAACCTTCTTTGTCATGTTTGGCTGCATTGGGTTTCAAATGTTGCTCTGCAAAATTCCTTGTCATTTCTTGGATGCATTGCTGCTGTTCGGTGAGTTTGGTTGTAAAGGCACGCTGTTGGCCCAATGCCTTTAAACATTGTCTTGAATAAACTGAAACATTAAGAGAAATTACACTATGGGAATTTACAATTACACAAGTTTTTGAATACATAAATTTTGTAGGTAATCATTGCATACCTAATCTACAGTCACTAATGTACTAAATAAAATAAATTAACATTACTTATCTAATTGAGTATAAATTAAGAACCGTCATTTAATATATTAAAAATAAATTTGGTCAATTAAGACAATACTTACCGCCTAATTTCGTAGTTTTTAGAAGAGATCTCGTAGCCATTTTAATAAATGCTGATAAGAACTGAATACTGATGTTATATCACTGAAGCTGCCCAAACGTACTAACTCAATACGCACAGTTGACGTTCGAATTACGATACGAATGATAATGATAAAGAGCAAGGTCACACAAACATACTTTAGACCTCCAACTTCCAAAAACCGGTCTCCGAAATTATGTCACGGGTTTCAAGTTAACGAACGAAACGTGTAAAACGCAGTGCTGCAGTAAAACTCAATATAATTATGCACTTTAATACTTATCCAAACACTAATTAAGGTTGTAAGATTGCAAACATTCACAATTTCACGTTTTTTATTTACGTTTAATCTGTAGCAAAAATAAGTTTAGCGTTTATTTGTTTTAAACCATAACTTGATCATGTTAAGAACTATTTTTCAATAACTCGAATATCACTAACCGCTTCGTGTTGATTTGACAAGATTGACAAGATTGACGTTCAAATTTCAACTGTCATCGTTCCGTCTTACGCAAAAAATAGCGTTTGGTTAAATATTAAAAAATATCATTATTGATTCTAATTTAATGTAAATTATATCAAAGCAATTTCATGTTTTACTGAACATTGTAGTTAATGTTATATTTATTTAATTATTTGTCTTCATTTTAGTATTTGCAGTAATTAGACTTTGCAAAAGACTGTAACTATGAAACTGTTGGAAATAATAAAACGTTCACCAGAAGTTGACACTTGACATTCTGACAGACCTGGCAACTTGACAGTGTCATTCCACTTATTTTGTTGACAATAAATCGACGAATTTTCTGATATTAAACTTTGATGGTATTGTTTAATACTAACAAAAACACAGAAACATTAAAATATTAAACAATCCTGCAGTCATAGCGATTGTGACTTTATCGCAGATGTAGTGTATATTTTACAATTCCAAGTGTAAAAAGTTGCAGTAGTTTGTAGCGACACCCATTTTCCAAGCAAAATGACTTCGATTTTCGACCAGTACGAGCAGGCTTCGCAGAGTTCCCAGCGACCAAAGCCTGTTACGGAGCCCATGGTATCATCAGGTTACATCAACATGTTGATGGAAGACAATACTCCAATGTTTTCCAAAAGTAAAATGATTCTGAAGAATCTATCGGATGCGATCACTCATGCAGCAGTGTGCAACGATTATCTAGTTCTAGCAATGGCAAATGGAAACCTGTTTCGTCTCAATCTGAAGAAACCAGATTGCGGAGAAGGTATACCACTATTAGTCTACTATCAGAAAAACATGTGTGTTTTGAGTTGTTTAGACATTTGTGAGACAACCAATTAGTGCTTTCAAATTATTGGTTATTAAGACTGTTTTCTCTATGTAAATGCAGAAAGTTAAATAAATATAGTCTATTTTTATTTTGTCCTACTAAAACAATGATTAACTAATTCCAGAAATCCAGTATTCAAAGTTTGTGCAACCAAACTCAAAGCTAACAGGAATCTTCCTAGACCCTCTTGGACATCACTTACTTATGGCATTCATCTCAAAAAAGAAAGATGGCTACCCAGAGCTCATATACTTGCACCAGAGCAGTTCCAAATATAAATTAGTCAGTAAATCTAGGAACTATGAGGTCACTGAAGTTGGTTGGAATTGGGAGAATACATCAGAGGTTAATACTGGTCCAATCCTCCTTGGTACATCACAAGGTCATATCATTGAGACTGAGTTGGAAGTTGATAGTGACAAGACTTTTACAGCCAGTCATCCTTATTGGAGAGAGGTAAATAGATGTTAAAACTCTCTTTTGCTCTATACTTTTTCAGATTATATTTAACTTTAATATTTTACTCATCACACTATCAAATTATCTAATAAATTTTCCCTCTTCATAACATAAAAATATATGTAATACATCTGTACACAAAAGCAAATAATTCTTTACATTATTTTATTTCAATTTTAATAAATACATAAAATATTTAAAATAAAATTTATGCATTTTCAAATAAATTAAATTTTCATCTCACTATTGTAGAAAAAAAGTTCCACTATCCAACCTATGTTGTTAAATACTTCTGTTCTTGAAATCATAAATATTGTATTCACATGTTTCTCTATTTCTTATTATGTTTTTTTTAATTTTTTTATTAATTTCTCACACAAGCTGCCTAGCTATCTCCCTCTGTATGGGAGCAAGGATATTGATGGTTTGGTAAACACACATTTTTGCTTTCATTTATCTATAATTTTTTTTTTATTTAATGTGCAGTGTGAATCTTGTGAATGCCTGTTCTATTTTATAAACGAAGTAGAGATGCGCCCCAGCTACACATGGATGCAATGCTAATACTACATTTCTTCACTATTAAAGGATCTTATTATAATTTATATAAACCATCCTCTTCAATCACTCTATTTATTAATAAACCGCATCACGCGAAGTTTTAATGATTTAAACATACATAGGGACAGAGCAACTTTGTTTTATACTTAACTTAGTAATTAATGCAACCTGATTGCCAACTGTTATTTAATTGAAGTTGAGTTAAGTTCTCTTTCTTTTTCTTAAAGAAGTGAAAAAAAAAAAAGGAAAAGGAAAACAGAAAAAGTAGTTAAAAATAGCCATTGTAGGAAAATTACTACTTTCACAGTTTGCCTGTAGCTGTATATAGGTCGAGTTATGTTTTGCCTGCTTTCAAAAGAGATTTTCTAACATTTTTTACTACTAACTAAAGCTTGCAATTTGACAATATTCAACATAATATCCATCTTTTTTTTTAAACAAAAACAACTTTCGATTTCAGATTTTCGACATTGGCAAAGGCACAGACATGCCAATAACTGGTATACAGTTCCACAGAGTAAATAATACAAGCAGATATTTTATTTTTATTACAACACCAACAAGGTTGTATCAGTTTATGGGCCAGGCTGTAATGAAGGATAACAAACCAAGTTTACAGTCTATTTTCTATTCATACTTAACTATCCCAGAAACAGGTTTCCAAGAGATACCATCTACATTGAAGTATTCAAAGCTGCAGTTCTTTGATAAGAATGATGTTCCGAAGACATTTGCGTGGTTGACTGAACCTGGAATTTTCTATGGACAGGTTAGTATAAATTTATTTAGTGTTTGGTGTAATATTATGCTTCATGTAGTTTAAACATAGTTGCAACATGATGAGGTCTGGGTATCATCATTTGGTTGGGCAACTCTGTTTACAACTGTTTGTAATGTCAGTGAGGTTAAAACAATACCAGGTGTAACAATAATAACCATAATACCACACAATCTTGTCTATAAGAATTTAATTTGAAAATAAAATCTTCAAAATTAAGGTATAATTATATTGCAACCAACAAGTTCAGTACTAACATTTAGTTAGTGTAACATAACAATTTATTTATATCACGAGTTTTCCTCTTATACGTTATCAGACTTAACGTACAACGTGGCCTCATATTGGTAATAACAGCTCCAATTCATTTAAACCATTGTTGCTTGACTTATCGTAAAATTATTTGATACGCCTAAAACATGATTATTATTGAAAATTTTATTTGTGAGGTCGATTTCCGACTTTGGTTATAAAAACTCAAAATATCACACAGTCATGATTTAGTATTATATGGGAGTGCATAGAGATAAAATTGTTCTTCCGAAATGCTTTACGCATTGCAGATAATTATTTTAATGTATTTACAGCTGGACCCAACATCTCAACAAAACTCAAACTCGCTGTTCACACAGGGAGCTTTAATCAGCTACCCAACAGACGGGGACGAGCCAGAAAACGCTCCTCTATCCTTCGTCCTCACAGAGTTCCATGTACTCCTAATGTACTCCGACAGAGTCAAGGTGATCTCCCTCATTAGCCAAGAACTAGTCTTCGAAGACAAATACTCAGAAGCTCAAGGAAAACTAAAGAATATTGTCAGAGATGCTAAGAAAAGAACTATTTGGGCCATCACAGACAAATGCGTGTTCCGATACAAAGTAGTTAGAGAAGAACGAAATCTGTGGATCATTTACTCCGATAAAGAACAATTTGATTTAGCCAAAGAATATTGTTACAACAACCCAGCGTACATCGACGTGATCAATGTCAAACAAGCTGAGCTACTCTTCAATAAAGGAGAGTACGAAAAAAGCGCGGCCATATTTGCTGAAACGCAAAAGAGTTTCGAAACAATATGCCTGAAGTTTCTGGAAATAGACCAAATAAATGCTCTCAAAGTGTACCTAGAGAAGCGGTTGGAAAGTCTTAAAGAAGATGAGAAGACCTTAATTTCTATGCTGGTCATATGGATGACTGAATTATATTTGTCGCAGTTAGGTCTCCTCCGACGTACGGGCAAGCAAGATACAGAGGAATACCACCAAATACAAAGCAACTTCGAAGTATTCTTACTACATCCTAAAGTTGCAAAATGTATGCAGCACGTCAAATCTGTTGTGTACGATTTAATGGCTTCTCACGGCGATAAACTGAACTTGATCAAATTAACTATTATCAATGAGGACTATGAGAGTGTTGTAGCTCAGTACATTAATAAAAAGTCTTATTTAGAAGCTATAGATACGTTGAAGACCTTGAAAAGGCCGGAGCTGTTCTATCAATTTGCTGCGACGCTTATGGAGGAGATTCCTAAGCATACTGTGAACGCCTTGATATCGCAGGGAGCGAGATTGAGTCCATCAAAATTACTGCCAGCATTCTTATCTTGTAAGAATGATGAAGCTCATGTATCCGAGATCATAAGGTACTTGGAGTTCATTTTGCAGCATTTTAACGTGAGAGACAAGGCGATACATAATTATCTTCTGACATTGTACGTGGAGCACGACCATGAAGCGCTCATGATGTACCTGGCGCGGCAAGGACAGGATGTCACTATGGTCAACTACGATGTGCATTATGCTTTGAGGTGAGTTGCTTACCTGATGCCCCCATTATTTTCTATAAGCTGTAAAGCTACTGTTCATAACTATTGAAATCAAAATGGTATGTCCATCCTCTTACCATCGTCAAATAGTTGGAAGGTATAAATGGATGTTTCACCTCTTTTTAACTTACAACACAGATTTGCAACGTCTTACTTCACAAACCTTAGTACTATACTGAGAATTACGCCACCCATTTTTTACATTTTCTCCCTGACTATTAATAACATTACATACAAAAATTAAGAGTTATTTTAAATATTTTATTCTAGATTATGTCGCGAGAAGAATTTATCAGAAGCTTGTGTGAAACTGTCTGCATTGCTCGGTTTGTGGGATTCGGCCGTCGAACTAGCGTTACAAGTGAGTCTGACCCTCGCTAAGAGTATCGCTGACATGCCGGAACAGACGGAACTTAGGCGACAACTGTGGCTGAATATCGGTGAGTTGAACCTTGTATTAACTCATCACACCCCAAGCGAACGCCGGCGTTCGCGTTCCAATTGAACTTCTATTGTGTCTCGAATTACGTCTATTGAAAAGTTAAGATTACCTATAGACTATTAGAGTTGTTGAGAAATTAGTAGAGCTTTTTTTTTCAGTTTATAATAAAAATAATTACAAATTAGTAAGTCGTTGTTTTCAATTATGTCTCATGTTAGTTATTATTATAAAAATCAATGTTCAGGCATTACAATGTCTTCTTTCGCTGTAACTGATATGCGGTTTTTTATCTTCAGCTGAAAATGTGATCACGAAGAACCAGGATATGCAGGAAGCGATGACTTTCTTAGAGGAGTGTCCGCTCATCAAAATTGAAGACATACTGCCATTCTTCAGTGATGTCGTCACCATCGACCACTTCAGACAACCTATTTGTGATTCTTTGCAGGTAATGTTTCTTATACTTATATAAAATTATCGTGTCACGACTTTAGTTACCTTACTCATCAGAAATGGCTTCACTGATTTTTAAATTACTGAGAATCGACTAGTAGCTATTTTCATACCCCTAAGCGATAAGGGTTAATGTTAAGGGCCACCCTTAACATTTTATTATCGAAATAATTTCAAAGTTTGCTGGGTCAACTGGTAATGATATAAAACTGAACCCATTTGTCACTTTATTTTGAGTGTATACCTAAGTTACTGAATCGATTTTATAGTGAAATTCAAAATCATTTATTTCAATTAGACACTTTTAAACGCCAAACAAAGATTAAATTTAGAACGTGCCAGGACGTTTAGGCAGATAAGTGATCATATATTTGACAAAATAATTAGATGAGTGGATGATACGAATTATTCAAATTATTTTGAAGACCTCCATTATTGAGAATCGTGACTCGACTCACTACAGCACAAAAGATAATATTCATAGCAGGAAGGAAACGAAATTTCATCTATAAAATTACTAACAAAATAATAATCTATGTTGCTTAGTGTTCAAGAGGAAAATCATTCTACTATTACTAATTTGCTACCATAATGCTTGCAGGAAAACAACAACCAAATAGAAGAAATGAAGGCCGAAATGGAAGAAGCGATTGCGGCTGCTGAATATGTGAGTTGATAATTCGATAGAACAAGATTGGACCAAGATTTAATAGATAGTCTTTATTAGGTTCTGTTAAGATTTAATAGGATTTATACGAAGACAATACTTTTTTTTTTATTATTTTTATTATAACTTTCGTGAGACATTCTAAATTATTTATTATGTTTTCGGCTTACTCACGTAATAATTTGACGAGATACTCGACTAGTTTCAAGCCATGCTAGAGGCCCATATTCATGAGCAGCATTCCGCGACACGCGACTCGGCGACCGTCGCGCTGCTACTGGCTACTCGAGTCTGCGCGCCCAACGCGCCCTCTGCCGTGATTCACGCGCACTTTCTTCTAGCCGTGGTGTTGGCAGCGACGGCGCGCGCGACACTGTTGGCACGCTAGACTCGCCCGCCTGCAGCTGCGTTGGTGTTGGGTTCGAATCCCGGGTCGACGCAAAATCAGTGTTACATACCGCGCTAACTGTGTCACACTCCAGACCCGCAACAGTGCAGTCTGATGCAGATTTCAGACTCGGCTTCCAGGCAGAGAAATAAGAAAGACAATACTGTTGTGTGTGTTCGGATTTTTAACTAGCTAACAACAGTCTAGTTTGATTGAACTCAATATGGGTTACTGCATACATATTTTGCATATTAGAGATCTATTTCACAGATCTTATCGGTCCAGTGTCTTTTCTCACCCTCAAGTCAAAAAGTCAAAAATCATTTATTCCAATTAGACCTTTACAGGCACTTTTGAACGTCAAACAAAATTTTGAATATATAGTGTCAGTCTGACGGTCAGTCCTCTTAGTGAAGCTATTTGCTCGTTCCAAAGTGTAGATTCCGATGGAGAAGAACGAGCAAGAAACTCCATGGTTACTCTTTTTAAAGTGTCAGACTGTTAAGTGTCAGACTTACCGATAAAATCAACATTTTTATAAACAAACTCATAGATTATTCCAAATTAGTCTCTAATTAGCTGAATTATTGTCTTAAATGAAGTTGGTAAGAGAGAACACTGCAGTCTTTAGGATTTTGAATGATAAAAAGGCGACGAGGCGATGGCACCGGTGCCTTTAATATTATTATATAGGTTTAGAGACAACAAATATAGATAAAATAAAAAAAAACTTAAGACAGCCGAATGGACCGAAGCATCTGTCGATTACGAAGTCAAGTAATTGATATAAAATGTTATATTTAGAAAGAAAGAGTGCGTGTGTGAAAGAGAGAGATGGAGAGAAATGGCAAAATGTGTCGTTTTAAGTTTTGATCTTAATTTATTCCTTCTAGCCCTCTTTCGCAACGCGCGATAATAAACTTGGTCCTAACAACGAAGTCATACTAACTCCGAGATACATACTTACAATGGATTCGTATATTATTTTCTTTCGCAGGTACGAGCAGAGATCCAGTCGTTCCGTAACCGTAGTGTGACAGTACTGGTGTCCGACGTGTGTTGTCTCTGCGACATTGCGCTACTACTGCGTCCCTTCTACCTGTTTCCCTGCGGACACAGGTTCCATAGCGACTGCCTCATGCAGGAGGCATTGCCCATATTGAGTAAGTAGATTTAAATGTTTACACTTTTAATTTTCAATGACGGATGTAGGTTAGGTACACGAAATTATATGCACTTTTGCCAGTCATGCTATTATGTACCTTGTATACGGTCACAATTCGATAGTTTCCAATTAGTCAAATTCAATACTTTTATTGAAATGTCAAAACGATGTTTTTCTGCGAGTTTTGTATGAAAATCTAAAATTAATTACATCTTCAAATCAATTAATATAAATAGGTATGATTATATTTTAATGATTCCTTGTATTGAAAAGCCAAAATAATTTATTTTTACCTAGGAATCTAGGCAATTATAACCGTCTTCTAATTTTTTTATGTTTGTAAATATGTTGCGTATCTGGAGTCTCCTACGCAGTTGGTGTGAATCATTTAAAATAGTCATCCAAATCGATTTAGAGAAAATATCTTTATATAATTATAATAACTAGCATCCAGACCGCAATAGACAGCGAGAAGCGACTTTTTTTATACTGCGACTTTTTTTATACTATGTTACGGAGTGAGTTAGTGTAGTGTAGTTTTTTTTTCGATAATTATTGTTTTAGGATAATCGGATATATTATTAACCTATCTAAAAAGTAAACCCTAAAGTACCTACCTCCAGTATAACTATTTGATAGTAATTGATTGCTGAATAGTAAAGTTCGACATTACAATTTGCTGTGTAATACTGTTTTTAGCGAAATTCATTTTTGCTTGCGGTTCAAGATCTTTGACGATCCTTAGCTTTTAAGAATTATTTTATTTAGGTACACTGTACTCACCTATCTACTATCTAATTCACAGCACCGGCCCGCCGCAACAAGCTATCAGATCTACAAAGGCAGTTGTCAGTTCTGTCCAACATTGAGCTCTCGACGATCACGTCCAGTGGTCTCCCCCTCCGAGAGATCCTGAGAAATGAGATCGACGACCTCATCGCCAGTGAATGCATCTTCTGCGGCGAGTACATGATCAACTGCATTGATAAACCATTTATCAGTGACGAAGATTGGGATAAGGTTATGAAGGAATGGGAGTGAGATCGTTCTAAATATACTTTTATCTATGTATTTTAGATATAGAAATTGCCGTTTTCGCCTTGGATATTTTACCTCACAACTAGTCACAAGTCGTGATGTCAAAATAACTTATTAGTCGCGTCGTATTATTATTGCGTCACATATTAGTTTATTTCTTCTAAATGAACTAGAAATACAAAATCTGTGTATCAGCAAAACAACAGTAGAAGTAAGTTTTTATGTACAGAAAAATTAATATTTTCGGCTGAATAGGAAAGAAAAAAATACGAGTTACCTCCATAAAACGGCAAATTCATAGTTAGATAACATAATAGTGTCATATTTGATAGATATTTTATAATTGTAATAATTATAGCCGATTTGTATATTCAAGGTCAAAATAAGATTTATACAACTTGTAGATGAGTATATTAGTTATTGGCAATATTTGTAGTTTTATTTTTGTAAGTGCAATGTAAACTCTATGTGGAAGTTTGCTTTACTCTTCTTTGTGTAGATGTTAATTAGTTATGCATGTCGAAGATAAGAGTATCCATGTACGCGTATAATATTTAGTTTGTTGACTGATTTATTTAAGTGAACTTTTAAAATACTGTGATCAATTTCCTACCATCGTTGAGTCTAAAAATTATCAAAGTAATATATAATTATGTAATATAGTTAGTTATGTATATTTTGTATTATCCAATATATGTATAATGTAATCAATAATAAAACACTTTTAAACGGATTCATTATTTATTCAGAAAATTGTGTTATCAAGTGATGATAAACAATAAATATTAAATATTAGGACGAGGAGACCGTCAAATCCTAGAGGACAAATATCTTTACACATTTGTTTAATATTAAAAACATAAAATGTACAAACATAAACAATACATTGTCAACACCTGTGTTATTTATGCACAATAATTAACACGAAGATTAAGGAAGGCTAACGAAGGCCTCGTGCGCGCGTATTACGACTGTGTATCTAATGAGACGATTCACTATTGCGAACTAACTTTATTGACTAGCAGCACCATCTACTTCCATCACCTGCGGTTCCGACTTATCACCTTTGTCGTCTACTTGCATTATATCTAAGCTTTCTTTCTTTTCATCTACTTTCCCTTCCTTATTACTATCCTCTTGCTTCGTACTATCCTTCTTATTTTCTTTACTCTTACTTCGTTTCTTTACAACTTTGCCCTCCTTTTTGGGACCTTCTGGTTCTTCAGTTTTTGTTTCGTCTGTTTTTTCGGTAGGCGTGTTGTCGGGTCGTGTGTCGGCAGCTTTTGCCTGTGTGGCTTCTTTATTGTCGGTTGGTGCCACTAGAGGTTGCTCGTCTTGGGCCTTCGTCTCCGTTGTTACCTCCTGCGGCTTCTCAATCTGGGCTTCCTGGGCCGCCGGGGCTATATGTGTAGGTTGCTCTGTTTGCTCTTGGGCTTGGCCTTCTTTGGTGGCTTCCTTCATTTCAACCTCGCCGTTTTCTGCGACTTGTTCAGCTGCCTGTTGTGCTTCTGTGTTCTCGTCCTTCATTTCTACATCTGAAGGCTGAGGTTCATTCTTAACACCTGCGTTACTTTCTGCTTTGGCTTCTAATACAGCTATACATTTTTGAATGCATTTAATCGCCTCCTTTCTAGCCTGCCGAATATTTTCTTTACCTTCGGTTTCAATAGTATCTAATTTAATGAGATTCCTAGTAAGCATTTCATCTAGGAACAAATACTTCTTATCATTTTTGGTACCACCGAAGTTTTCAACTTCAGTCATAAGATTTAAGACATCTGTTTGTATACGGAGAATTTGTGTGATGGGGTCATTGGCTGTAGGTTGTGGTTTGGGCTGAGGCGGAGTTTGCTCGCGCTGCGGCGCTGGTTGCTGCGGCGGCGGCTGCTTCTGCTGAGGAGGCGCTTGTTGCTGAGGCGGGGCCTGCCGCTGTTGAGTCCTGGACGGAGGTTCAGTCTTAGGCACAGTCTGTTCATGGTGCACTGGCACTTTAACGAAATGTTCTTCATGTGGATGTGGGTGAGCTTGGGGTTTAGGGGATTGAGAACGCTGAGGTGACGCACCTCGGGCAAACGCGGCTTGCGGGTACACTTTTTGTTGCGTGAATGGTTGCGGACCCTGCCTAAATCCTTTGTTGAAAGGCGTTCCAAAAGCCCTGGTGAAGTTAGGTGGTTGATGGTAGGGAACTGAATTATCATCAGCGAAATACTGTTCTCTGTCAATGTGCGGCTGTTGCGGCGGCGGCACGTATGCAGGCTTGCTGTCTCCGAAGTGTGTGCCGTGGTCTACCGATTTGTTGATCACGGGCTCATCCCTGCCCTCCACAAAAATGGGTATGTGTCGCACATTGGAGTGTTGCTCTCCGTGTTGTGGGGCGTGTTGTTCCTGGTGGTTCTGTCCGCTCATTTTGAAGCTTTGGTTGGGAGGTGCGCAACTGTCTGGAGGCGCTGACATAGACCTCTGGTTTCTGTCGTCCGCATCGACCAAGCTAGGGTCGGCGGGGCTCTTCTGACCTAGGTCAACTGTGTTTCTTAATCCGTATTGAGGGAGGTGTGTCTGTGATTCAGGTTCTGAAGGCCCTGGTTGGGGTTCCTGTTCAGTCTGTGTGGCTGCAGTCTGTTGCTGCGCCGGTGGGGATTGTGGCGCGTGCTGTTGTGTCTGTTGCGGCGGCGGCGGATGCTCGTCACGAGGACCAAATCTGCGATTCCAATGTGAGGGAAAATGTTCTCTGAACTCTGGCGGGATGTCGTCGAAGGGAAATCTGTCGAAGCCACCAAAACTGTCGCCGAAATCTGCAATAACGAAACGTTTTTTATAAACAACTGCAAAGAAGAAGGTCTTATTTCAGATGATGTTGTATACAGTTCTACAGATATTTAAAATAAATTAAACTTCTGTAGGTTCTGTAAGCAACTGAAATGTGACCTTAACCTTTATCAACATCTTAATGATTAAAATATAAAATTATAGCGAGGAGCTACATACCGTCTGTAGCGTCCTGGCTCGAAGGCCGCCTCTTCCTGGCCCAAGTGGCAGGACGTTGCCGCAGACGCGCTGCTATGTCGGGATGCCGCGAAGCAAGCTCGCTCCACGCGCCCGAACCTTCCTCGTCGTCAAACGGAAAACCACGCTGTTGAAAAAAAAACAAACAATTAGATAAATTTATTTCATAACCCTTCTAAAATATTGTCTCTAGTGCCAAAAATCTTTCTAAACTTCATCGATCATCTCTATACACACCGTCATAGTGCAGCGTATCATAGAATATTGTACCATTAATGTCAGTATGTCCATCTGCTAAATACAATAATTATATAATTGAGTTTTACATGGTCAGGCAGCACTGGCGGTCACTACACAACATGAGAGTTGCAATTCTCAGTATATTGCATAAATAGTTAATTGAACCTAACCTATACTCAAATTCATTAAACAAGTTAATTGTTGAGAGATTCTGCTTAATTTCCATTCAAAAAAGTCAAAAAAGGTCCTCGAGACGACTGTCATCATTTAAATAGTTTTAAAGACACGGCAATACAGGAAACTCATTATATGCATCGATTTCGCAAGTATCCGGATGGAACACCGTATAAATATGTAAAGCGACAAGTGCAAGTACCTATAATGCATTCCGTACTTTGAGCCACCTTACTAGTACAGAGGTATGATGGTGCGAAGGAGACGCAGTATACGTCAAAACAGAAAAGCTACATAGTAGTCACATTTGCGTCGCCAGATACAACCTTATAAGGCAAGGACGGCCGAGGAAGTGACCTTACAACGGAGACTTTCTTATTTTGATACTTCGGTATCATTACGCGGACGAATGTTCCAATGGTTTATGCTGTGCCAATAAATATTGATAATATCGTTAAGTTCTTATTCTTGACAATGTTTGACACTCAAAAATGTCAAATTAACATACTATGAAGGGATTAATTACTTCTTGATGAATTGCAAATGCCAACGACAAAATTAAATATGCTGTAAAACTGAATTTATAATGTTTGGTACCTATTAGGAAAAAGGACTTAGCAGCAGTGGGCCAACTTGCCCTGATTAGTGAATGATGCTTTTAAGAATATTTGACAATTTTTAACCGAGATTGTTTAAAACTAATAATTTTAACACTAACAAATTTTTTTACCGCCATCAAAAGAAGACAGGAGTTTGACAAAACAAAGAGTTGCCATCAAGATAAATAGTGCAGGAACTGAATAATATATGTTACGTAGAAATAGACAAGAATGTCCATTATGATCTGAAACCAACGACATTATAGCCATAGCACAAATATACAAAAGTAATACTGATGATTGTAAACGGTGACATCAGCGTGTAGGTTGAAGTGAACAAAAACCGATGGAGACCGTTGCGTCATGCGATTGTCGACGATTGTTGGAATACGTAGCAAACGTGTGCCGGCAGGATGAGGGAAACTGGCACGTGGCCGATCTCGTGACTTTATAATAATACGATTGTTGCAATTCAAAAAATACTTGTAAACACGAGGCTCTTGACAATCGCTTATAATAAGTAATCTCGATAGCATTGGATGAGGTCTTTAAGTGTCAATACTCATAAGAAATTATACTGTTGAGATAAGAGAGAGCACTAAGGTGTCCTATTTATAAGTGATGCGCTAATACGGTCTTTTATTAACCCTATCTTTTTAGGGATAGGTACAGCAAAATAAATTTGTATTTTAAATTACTTTTATCTCAGACTCATTACAATTTCATTCTGATATACCAGCGAAAACATTACGGCGAAAATACAAAAACGAGTAACGTCACTATATCATTTAGTGCAAAGCAAGAAGTAAAATGAAGTTCAATTATTTTTTTGTATTTAATTTCTTTCAGTCCTAATTGAAAATAGCAGTACCTCATTTTCGCCTTGTAAATATCAATCACTCCCAAAGTGCTGAATAATATTTTAGATACAATAACGATGTTGAGTGACGCAGATGAAGTCAACGACCGAAACATCAAATCTGACCGACGAGCCGCCAAAGCAAGTAACAATAACGACAGTTAATAAAAGATCAAAAGAAAATTAATATATGTTTTAATCAAAATAGACTTATGATAGTAAAACACATCATAGATAAAACATTAAAACCGATTTCGCGATATCAAACGATGACCCACTTAATATTCATAAACAGAAACGTGATTCAAAGTGTGGGTTGGTACTGTTATTTCCACTAAGGTCTCTTTATGGCATTACATAAAACATCCGGTGATTATAAGTTTACCAAATAAAGACAATATGAGGTAGATTTTCTTTCGGCTGAAGCAAATTAGCATAGGATACTAATCCCCGTGGGCGCTCGCCTGACGCACCGTTGAATACACTACGTAAGTCCTCTTATGTATGTGAACGATACATTTTACCTCTAAGATCACGGTGACATCATCGTCTTAACTTAGTTTAATGTTTACTAAGATAATTATGTTCTGAACATACGGGTTATCCGTAAACATAGGTTCCGCGTCAACAAGTTTCTCTTCGTATTACAAAAACTATTTACCTACTGCTTCATCTATTCAAGAATTGTAAAGTTATTCTTTAAGAGTTAGTTATTTGATAAGGACAAGCTATGGGTTGCTATGGGTTCTGTACCCAAGAAAAACATAAGAGTAAATTTTAAGAAAAAAATGTGTTTACAAATAGCATCAGTCACAGCTGGAAATATTTTGTTTACGTTCATAAGCCCGAATATCACGTGGATAAACATTAAAGTGAATTCGTAATAGAGGTAAAGATATCAACTAAAATCGTGGTATCGTATTGAGCGGAACCAATATTGGATATCGGAAATGTGAAGCATTATTGGGCACGTATTTAGAGCGAGCGTGCACTTACAGATAAACAAAGCAGAAGGGGTTTAGCAAAAACAGAAGCACGAAAGGTAAGTGAACTGCGTTCAAGAATAACGATGACCAAATATGATGACCGAATAAGAACGTATTTGTCTTATTTCATTTAAATTAATATTTAATTTTATTATTCCCGTTTGTTTGGTTCAGTTTTTAGTCAGCGTTAATTTTATACCACAAATAGATGGGTATTTTTTTAATAGATTATAACCGGTATACACTATCTAACTTTTGGTTCTCAATTATTCTGTTTTGAGATGTTGAATAAAATTTTGTCTTGGGTACGCTAAACATAGTACCTATTTCGAAAATTTTAAGCCAGCATCGCCAATGACTCACGAGACTTAACCCAACACGTCGAAATGTTTACAATGATCTCGTGTTAGTTACTGACGTTTTTATCGGCAAATATGCGAAGGCAAACAGCGCTGTGTTCCAGTGCTGAAAACGAGTTTTAAAACATATGTATTTAAGAGAAAATTCTAAACTCACTCGAGGTTATTAAAGCATCGTTTTAAATAAGGCAACGCACAGAAAAAAGACAAAACCATGGAGAAAACCATGAGCTAGTAAAAGAATACACGACAAACCACTTAAAGGAAATATAAATTTTCTGATCTTGTGATTCAATAGTAAATCGATGTACCAGATAATATAATTGCAAATCTTTAACAGCTTTCATGACTGTTAATCTGTTAGGCACGGATTAGTCATGAAACACCTTCGTTTATTTAAGCGAAGGTAACACCTGTGCTCCAGACAAGCTATGTCTTTGACCATGCTACCACCTGGCCAGATTCCAATTGCTAATATGACGAAGGAAAACATTCTGCAGGTCATTCTTCTCTCTTAAAAGGTCCTCGTGTTAGATCATCGATTATTTAAACAGTATTTAGTGATAGAAATGCAATTTCGTTACTTTCTACGTATAAATCACACAATTAATATGGAAAGAAACAAATGTTTGATTTAATCTATAATTTGCAATAATATATAATAAGATTAGAAATAACCGATTTTTTAAATAAAAGAAAAGTTATCAAAAACAACTTTCATTAATAACTTATTGCAAACTTAAGTTCCGAATTGTTTATTGTTATCAGCTACAGTAAAGTCTGTGATAACTTACTTCACCGCCATGGTATTCCGGTGGTTTATCCAATACAACAGGTGATTCCATTTCCTTATTACAAAACACTGGAATGTTTCACTAATAACCACTTCACAAGTAAATGTAAATAACGCGAAAGTATCGACGTACTTGAAGTAACGCTCGTCACTTAGTCTCGATTTATACTGCGGCGGTCGACGCTGAGCGATCGTATTTATACAGCTAGTGGGAGTGCGGCGCCGCGAGTTCGCGGACCATCCGGACCATTCGAGAACAACGCGACGTAGTTGCCGTACAATGAAAATATTCGACCGAGTGTTGTGCTTGGGCGATATACATCGCTGCATCAGTTACTACAGCAAAGCTCCGTACATTGAACTAGTTTTATAAAAGCAGCAATGTAAATGCTACATAGACTATAGAGTCGATATTCGCGTGCATTTTAAGGCGCCTGCGTAGATTTTGTCTGGAAGCTTCTCGGGGTGGTTGAACGTACAATGGTATAATATTCTGGGTGCAACCCCAACCCTTCGGAACTTGGAAGAAAGTTCTAGCGCGAAATCTCTAGAAATTATGGTGTAACACCTACGTCCCATGTTATTCAAAATTGGATAATTTAATAAAAAATACTGTCGGTTAAAAACAGGCATTAATTTTCAGGTCGTGTGATTCACTGTGGACAATGATTTTATACTATAATGGACATCACAATGGCAATAACAGCTTGTATGAATTTATTTAATTTTTCCTTCAGCGTGCCTTATAAACCAAGTGATTAATGTTGGGGTGTTGTATTTATACAACCTTTGCACATTAATTTAAGTTTCAATTGTTCTTTTATGAAAATGGACATTTAATGGCAAAGAAGGTCTTGCACAACTCATCCGAAAATAAAAACAATTACTCTAATTATAATTAACTCGTGTAGGTGTAGTTATAAATTTTAATGATGGCATTATTTGCTTTTTTTGTTGATTTCATATTTATCCAATTGTCGTAACTCAAAATATCTTTGACGGTTTTGTTTTCGTTAATGGCTGTTTCTCTGGAACGTACGTCCCAGAACAAATTATAAGCAATTTTCCTTTTTTATTTACTTATTTATTTATTAAAATTAAAGGTTTCGTCTATCATTGGTTTATAAGGGCTACTTTCTATCTCTAGCACGGGAGTACTTGTAGGTAAATTTAAAAAAATATTGTTATGTTCAAAAAATTCAAAAATAATAATGATAAAAATAGAACAATCGAACTTATCAAGAATAGTTTCCGGAAACGCACCAATGAAAACATTACTACGAATCTCTATTTAAAATCACAACATGTGATATATTATTATAAATAGCTCAAAGTCAAAATTGTCACAAGGCTATTATTGATACTACAGTATTAATCATTTTCTATTATCATCACATGCTAATGCTATGTATACAGATATTAATAGACAATGATAATAATTTGACAATTACTAATTACACCTGAATAAGATGACTTTTATTTTGATTAAAATATCCTACTGGAACTGCACAGCGCACGCCTGTTTTGGAGTACTTGGTAGTAAAATACAGTATATTATAAATACAATTAAACGAGAGCTGCATTAGCCTGTTACAGCTTGTTGTTTTTAATGTTGACTCACAGGCAGTTCAATAAGAAAACTATTAACTGGACGTTTTGGTAAATATGTATTACGAAAGTATTTTACTGAAATGGAAACTTGAGGGGAGTCAAGCCAATTGAGGTATGAAATTATGTACTTCTTGCCTCTATAAGTACTTCTTATGGGTAATCCAGAAGCTACCAAGAGTCTTAATAAAAATAAATTGGAAAGCGCACAATACAAAATAATGCAGAAATAGTAGAACTACAACAACATTTCGGAAACATATTTCTGAACTGCAATAATAATACCTACCTACTCTTTTTTGTCAGGGGAAAATCATTAAATAACTTCTCCCACCCAGGGTAAGGCGAGAGAGTGTTAGACTCTTACTGACTAAAACCCTCCCGTTCCTTCTGCTCTGGGCCGAGGTCGCGGTACCTACTTACATACTAAGTTTTGTTTAAAGCGCATGTCATTGGGTTATTTGGGTTATGTTTGGTAAAATACGAATGCACGATTTATTTTAAACGTTGTTTACATTCTAGCATCAGTCGAATAGCGGTTATACCTAATACAAAAACGAAGCTCTTCGTGGGACTAACCACAACATATTATTCGTTTTATTTTACGACGCGATAAATATGTCTTCAGCGCGGTCCAGACAACATGAGACATCCAGTTCGTTATTCTAATACCCACACAATATTTCGAACGTCACCGTGATGACGATGTCTTAAGAAAGAGTAAAACAATATTCTTAATAAAATAAAGGTTTACAATTTTATATGCACAGCAACTCTATCACACTGTGAAGAAAAGAAATCGCTTAATAATATGAACTGAAACATCAATTCGAAGTAATTACGCAATACGCTTATAACGCACTATTATCAGCTAACTGGTATTTGGCAATCAATGCATGGTCAATGACCGAACACACCGGCATGGTGTTGAGGACGCAAGTGGAATTATAAGTTCCTCATTCATTCACTTCTATTCAATCCGAAAAAATATTACTTTTGTGGGACAAAGAATTAAAACAAGTCTTATAACGAGTAATAGTAGGTAATTAACAATTTTAAACTAAAATGTAATCAAGGTTGCTGAACAAAGAAAAGGAAGTGTTAAAATGTTTACACGTCATGTCGCTGTAAATACAGCGTCGCTATTGCTGTACCTTTTTCATGATCGCCAATTTCAACAGGTATGCAGCAGGGGCTATTTTTAACAGCTTTAATGTCAGGATTCTTACAGGAAGCTAGCATCGATAGTTCACATAGCGGACCAGTGATTTGACTAAGCGTTTTTAATTAGCACAACGTTGTTCACGACATTAGAACAAATGTTAAATATGAATGAAAAATAATACACTGAAGGAATAGAAACTTACATGTAATATTATTCGCGACTATAAGTGAACGTCTTTGCGGTAAACCTCAACTGGAAATCATTCAGGGTTAATCAAAATACTACAAACAAGCGAAGTGGGACGCGCGGAGACGTAGGAGGGCAACTCGCTCCAAATACCTAACGATTCTTATAATAATGTTGCAGCAATAATAACAATTCGACCCCTAATATTATAGCAATATGAAAACAATTCGACCCCTGGTTGCGACGACGGTTGACGAAATATAATTGTAGAGATGTCGTACTATTTGTACGCAGATCACCTGAATGTCACACGCATTATAGCATACGTCTTTAAAAAGTGCATCAATGACAATTTTGATGGCCATTGCAAGTCTTAAAAGTTAACAGAACCGTGTAAACAAAACATTGTATTGTTGGCAGCTTCGTGTAATCGGTGTTACCAACAAATACAATATTTGAAGCTATTTTTAATTTGTATATGGCATCGCACGTTCGGCTCAATAGCAATGACTGTGGTGTACTCACGTTTCGCTTCATATTGTACTGTCACAGAATTATCTCACGTTATTATATTTTTTAACTGCCGTTTTAACATTTATCTGCTAGAATCGACACTGAATTTTATATATCCGTCTTAGCACCACTCACTCGTTCACGTCTGCGCGTCGTTTTGCATGTGCTGTGGGTGGGTGCCGCGAATCACCGAAATAGAACTTTTGGAATAACACTACACAAATTATATTCCTTGCGTCACCGGTAACGTTTGACGAGATGAAGATCAAGAGCGGATACGTAGGCAGACACTTGGATTACACATGAAAATTGTCACACATCTGTATTTAACATTAGAAAGCTAGACAAAACATAGCATTTTCTTTATTGTACTGCAGAATTGAACTATTAATTTCATTAAAACTTGAAAACTTGGTCCCTGAGGTACAACAAACTGTAGAAGAATGATGTTCGGTAGTATTTAATTAATGGTCAAAAAATAAACTCTTTGTTACCTCTTCAAGTTTCTAATAACAGCAAAGCAATAATACCTCAAACAATTTGTAGCTGCATTCACTTCGTTATATTGTGAAAATAAGTTGGTATGATGCGACCAACGACATCTCTAAGGTTACTATGTTGTGATCACATAAGGTGGCACGTGCTCTGTTCTCATTTTCTTCCTTCATAGGTGTAGTAGAAGGGAAGTCCTTGAGCAGCCCACAGTGTACTGATTCATTATCACCCACGCGCACAAATTGCATGTTATTTCTCGATAGAACACTGCAATGTTGCAAGCGATTTGTGGTTAGGGTTATCAGCGTATGAAGTAAAAAATAATTGGTGCATTTTATTTAAACTTATCGTGCCTCTCATTGTGTGGAGGCAGGTTCGAAACCAGGTAAGTTTAAGTTTATTTATTTAGACATCAATGATCTACGGTGGAGGGAAATATAATGAAGAAACCTGGACTTATAATTTCAAACTAAATGTTTGTAATCGCCATTCCGACTTGAGCGGACGTGATGATAAAAGCTATTTTTTTTTTTGAAATTGTTGTTTTCCGAAGAGTGGAAATTCATCAAATTACTTATCTCGGCAATATAAGAGTAGCAAGGCAAGGTAGCATTTTTGCGGCTACCCCGGCTTATAAATTATACCGTTGTACCTATGTATGTGAGTGAGTAACTGATTTTAAACCGTGTTAGCATAAATTCTAAAACATAGACATTAATTGATCTACAGTTGGAATAGAAGCGAACGATTCGTTTTCATCGAAAAATTAAACGCAGTAATAACTACTTTGTCAAAGTATGCTTCAACCCTAGCAGGTTATGAGAGGAAAATGACACTGGTGATAATGAGGATAAATGATCTGTTACTGTCTTTTTCCTCCGGTGGCTTATTTGATGATCCTGAGATTCTATTTCATCGCTTAGATCATGCTTCCGGTATTTGTCAGACAGCGAATCGTCTGGCTAAATAACATACTTTATTTTCCTGGCACATTAAGTATTTTGTATTGACCTGACGATTTAATACAAAACACTGAAAATGTTTAATACAATTTTCGGGTTTTCAAAACGAACAGATGTTTTCTTGGCATAGATATTTTCATTAGAACAAACGAAACGATACTTATGATGTCAACAGCAAACAGGCGTTAATTTATCTATAATTTCAGTACAACAGTTCATAGGAAATTCTAGGTCCTAACGTAAATTAATTAGATG